CCAGCCCTCAGGCGGGACAGCCCCTTCGGCCGTTCGCTTCCCTGCCTCCCGCCGGGTCGGAACAGCGGCGGTACGGCGTTGAGAAGGAGGTGAAGGGGCACAGTCCTCCCCCTTTGATATCACCCCACTTCCTCATTATTCTTTTTTCCTCCCCTGTGACCCATTAACGAGAGCTGCTTTTTCCACCATGCCTCAGAACCTGCTGCAGAACTCCTTCTTTGCTTTGGAAATAGTCTTTCTTGTCTTTGGTTTGCTGTTAGGTTTAGTAAAGGGAAATCTTTCATCGTTACACATTAAACTAAATCCTAACTAAGCATGTCTGAATTAGAGACCTTGAAAAGAGCTTGAAATATTCACTGCAGCAGTCACCTTCAGCCGAGCTCCTGAACTCCCATTCAGATTTGGTGTGTGCTGTGCTTAGCACATATTTCAGTCCATCTGTCCAGCTCCCCCAGAGTCACTGGTGCTGTACACTCCCACTCTGTTACTCCAACCTGGCACATTCCTCTTCCCCTCAGAGCTGCATCTGTCAGACTTGTCCTACCACACGTGAACACTAGAAATCCACTCTGGTTACCAGTGTAATAAACACTTTGCTGCAACACAAAATTAAGCTGATTGATCTGCTCCAGACCAAGCTGCTTTCATAACACAATGGGAAACACTTGCAGTTTAAGATATGCCAAAGAACAGTGAACACATGGTTACTGCACGTTATTCACCCACTAAGTTACAGGAACTGCAGCTTTTAAACTACAGCAACTTTAGTCTGGCTTGCCTAAATAACCAATAACACCATCCCATTCAATGCCAGCAACAGCTTTTCTTGGTTAAATCACCTTGAACTATTTCAAAACCCACCCATCTCCCCCCTTTTTGAAACTTAGAAACTGGAAGCAGTTCAGAGCCATTACATAATGATTTAAAAACATTTAATAGGCTTAAAAATGTAAAACACTTAATTTACATAGTGTACAAAAACATTTACAAATATTTCTATTAAAGCATAGAAACAGCTGTAAGGAAAAACTCTACATATAAGCATACCCATATACATAGAAAAACATTATACCTTTGGAAAGAAAGTGCTTTGTGCATTTAAAAATCCATTTGTGAATTCAAAAGTAGTAATTTTATGTGATTATAGTAACTTTGAAATTGTAATTAAATATCTTTAAGTGGAATGTATGATTAACCAAAAACATTTAAGAGATGACCACAATGCCACAAAAATCCAAAGCTATGCATCCTGCTCTGCTACCCTTTGTAAACACAGAAGGATGACTGTATGAGCTGCATCTCACCCATTTCCCATCTTGGAATTCAACAGCAGCATTTGTAAGAACTTTTATATAACTGTTTAGTTAATGGCTCTGAAGTTTTGATAGACATTTAACCCAAAAAAATAATGCTTTAATGAAGTTGTGGTCAATTTCTACATGAAGCGTTTACTTGCATGTAACAGCAACTTGGGCCTGTTTGCTATGTGAAAATGCTCAGCAGTTCCCAGTTTGGGTGTCCTTTTAAACAAGGAAAGCAGTCTTTATAGTAGACTGACCTTCGGAGGGGTTTGGGTCTTTTTACACAGGCACCTACATGACACAGCCTGAACCACACAGTGCAAACCTTGCATCTTTCAGATGATACATAACAGCCAGTAACCATTACAAGTAGTTCTTCCCAAAAATGGAAGCAGCATGGAAACTTTCTCTGCAAGACAGGCAGATGATCATGGACTTGTTTGAACTTCATTCCTACTCACAATTTACATATTAATATTTTGAAGAATCACTTATGCTGAAAATCAAGAATGATACACTGGAAAAAAACATTCCTCAAACTATGCTAAAACTGACAACTGCAGCAACCACACTTGCAAATAAAGCTGGATTATTCCCAGCAAATTATGCAGACATCTAAGGACCTAGAACACAGGAAAGCTCTAAAGCCAGAAGTAGATTTTGTATTACAGTAGGTATTTTGCTGAACTAAAAGCCTGCAGAGATGTGTTGTGACACTTTCAGTCAATTAGAAACCATAAATTATTACAGTCAAATTGTATACTGTTCTGAGAACAGGAAATCACAGCTCCTTGGTACTACCTACCTTCCTTTACAGAAAGATTGTTCTTTGCCCTTATAAAACACTGCATTCAAGTCTCAACAGCATTCAGATTTTCACATTCAAGAACCCTTGAACAGTTGACAGAAGGTATTCCTTCTGGTTCAGTTTGGAAAACAGCGCACATCATCCACTGAATCACGTGAGCAAGCCATTGTTACAGGAGCCAGCTTGCCTTGGAATCACTTCCAGGTTGCTCTCGTTCACAAGTCTTGTAGTGACCTCTTCCTTTGGCCAGAATCTCAGACAAGAAAAAGCAAATGCTCAAGACAACTTACAAGTTGCTCTAAACTCAAACAGTACATTAACAGAATTCAGTATACAGTTCAACATGTCAGAAGTCTATAATTTCTTCAACTGTTCATATGTCAGAAAGAACTGGACCAGATGATTAAGGAAAACTGTTTCCTGTTCACACAGTACAAAATGGTCACTTCACTAAAGGACAACTTTGTGAAACTTTTTCCCAATCTTTGTTCCCTCCTGTGCAATGCTGCTGGTTGGCCATTTTTGTTATGCAGTACTAAGCAGAACAATTACACTTGCTTTCAGGCTGGTGATGCCAATTACTTTACCATCCCTATTCCTCAGGATCTTAAACACAGGACTGAGGAGGCAGGAGAATATTGCAAAAGCCATTAGTCTTTACTCGCTTAGCTTTGATGGGCTAAAGTAGATTTGCTCACGGTAAAAACATTACTACCAATCCAACTCACAGGGCTCTGATCAGCTGGCTCTTTAAACAAAAAGAAAATTGTGAGATGAAGATAAACAAAAAGATTTCATGGCTAACTGCCAACAGTTTCCCCAGTTCTGGAAATAGCCCCCATTCCTAACTCATCTGGTCAATTTTATTTAAAACTAGGCTCCAAACTAAGGAAAAGGACAGGTATGAAATCAGAGGAACAGATCACATTCTAATATTCACCCTGTGAATCACAAATTCAGTCTGACTGGCAGCAGTTGACTAAGAAAATGGTTAACTACACAATTTTCCATTCATAAAATAAATTTGTGCTGACATGACACTTTCCACACTGACCACTCCATGAAACTGTCAATACTTGTTGTCTGGCTAGCTTAAAAGTTTTGCACACCTTTGAAAAGGATACAATGATATTCCAAGGACCAAGTCTTAACCAGTTCGGCCAAAACCCTTTATATAGAGCAAAAAAGCCTTCATTCTTCCATGTCTGGAAAAAACAACACACAGCAAGAACATACTTATGTCATTTGTTATTAGTGAGAAATTTAGCCAACATCTCAGCTAACAATATTCTATACCAGACAAGGGGATGGCTTACTGCTGTAATCTTGATTTAAACATATTGTACGATGGGACAAGGAAACATTTCACTACATAAAGCCAAGATTAGTAATGCCTGCAGCATTATTTGGCAGGTAAAGATGCAGTCTGTGTCATTCAGTACCTCATCCAGATTCATCCAAATTGCATTCCTGGACTTTTTTTCCTCCCCAAAAACCTTGCAGAGTGCTGCATGTAAGCCTGCAGCTCACATTAGGCACCCCCCTGACATTTTTCAGTTTGCTTTATGGACTTCACAAAATTGCACTGGACAGTGTGACTTGAACTGTTTTACAAACGGGACTGTTCAGTCAACAGTTTGGACACCAATAGCTTCCTACCCACTCTTCTCTGTGTAAAAGGCCATCATTTTCCCACTGCATACCCAATTTAGGGATTTAAGAAACCAAGCCAAAATAATCAGACTGATATCGCCTTTGGCTGTACTAGGCTTTCCATTATGCAGTAACCAACAGAGAAAGCCAGCTGCCCCAGATGATGTTGCTCTTTAAGAACTGACCAATGAAATTATAATTTCTTATCAATATACCAACATCAGGTAAAGTTAAGTAAGAGACAGTGCTGCTGAGAGACTTAGTCTCCTCATCCAAACACTAAAAGGAAGTGCCTGCAGTACATACTAACATTCTTTCTGCCTCTGTCAAGACAGTAGATACTTTTCACACCAAGCACATTATTGGCAGTATAGTCCTTTTGAACATTAGGGAAAAAAACATATTTAAGTCACTTGGATTAATTTCTAGGGAAACTGAGAACAATTTTGAGTTCTACAACAACATCATTGCTTGATCGCACCAGTTTCTACTTATGTTGATACATGAACTACTTACTTGTAACAAGCAATCCAAAGTACCCTTGTAGTTTGAGTGTCCCCCATGCTGCTGGCTTCTCTGATTCATCATGCGTGTCCTCACAACATCAATTGGGTTGGATGCAAGGGCTCCAGCTAACCCACAAGTAAAACTTGAGCTAATAAAAGAAAGGCTTAATGAAATTTGACCTACACACTAAGATGCACAAGAATTTCCCCCTCCCCAGAAAACATGCAGTAATAATGAGTGTTTAATGCTTTCAGTTAAAAATTACATCAGGTAGTAAGCGTGAAAAATTACTTTTCATTCACTATAAAGCATCATTTTCAAGATATGATATACAGCCCTTATATATAGATTCTGCATACTCAGACAGATGTTTGTGCCTCTGAGAACAGCAAATACTTGATTGGAACTCTCCTCTAATCTCAGTTTGCAAAGCTGAATGATTCAGATCATCCACAAAACAAAATTCCGTATTCAAAAGAAAATTAAATCCAAATCCTAAATAAAATTAGCTTCCATGCTATGTGCTACCATTTCAGATGCTATTGCATTAAAAAGTATAAACACATCAGAAGTATATTTACATCTAGACTGATAACAGAAAAATACCAAAAGATTCATCACCCATAACAAGCAATAACCAATGATGAGCTATGCAAGCAGTTAGTTATACAAACTTACAGGAAGTGAGTATATACTGTATCTCCCATAAATCCAGACATAATTATGTGCTTCTTGGTAAGGTCATACACTGGCAGCTCCACTCCAACAACAATGGCAGCTCTCTGTGCTGTCAGCGATACTCCCTGGCAAAAGAAAGGATATAGTTGTAGTTTAAAATTAACCTTTGCGTACCATCAGAAATGCCTAGCTTTTATAATGCAAAGCAACACACCACAAATGTGTTAAGAACATTGTTAAGGCAAATATGGCCAATTAGTACAAGTCTTAAACGTACGTGCTCCAAAAGTGTAGATTCAAGTTAACAGATAAATCACTTTCCCACACTGAACAGCAATTTCAGTTCCTTTATGCTACTTCATCTCTGCTTAACATATGAATTCTTACATCAACACTCAGGTAAAGACCTCAACAGCCAGGTGAGGTCAACACCCAGCTCCCCTTGCTGCTAACCAAAAAACTGACAAAAGTAAGGAGGATTAACAGAAAAATGGAGATCAAGAAACTTTGCAGAGACAAATCACACTAACAGAAAAACATTTCTATTTTCCAACAGTTTCAGAACAATTGTCTATTCTTGGTTTTCAGCTGTTATAGTTACTGACTGTAACTGGCATAAGACAACCTAAAAGACTGAGTACAAGAATTCCTGAGCTAGAGAGGATGTTCATTACTACTTTTACTTCCAAATGTTCTTTAGTATATGTTTTAAAAAGCAGAGCTTACAGATTGAGAGGTGGCTTGCAAAGAGTTGCTGAACTAGTCCTAGAGCCAGTCACCCTAATTTAAGCCTCCATTTGTCTCCTTTTTTATGAAGTGGCTAATCCATAAAGTAACCCTTTGTCAGGATGCACCAAGACATCAGTAGTAAAGTAGTCACAACAAGCTACAAACATATTAGCCACTGACTTCTCCATATTTTGGCTGAGAATACTGTAGAAGAACATGGTATTCAGTTGAGCAAGAAAGTGTAGAATAGAGTTAAAAACTTGCCTTCCATAATCCTTTAGTGCCTTCCTTTTGGTAGATCTGTATGAAGTTGCCCATCATCCCTCCTTGAATCACACTACCTTGGGCTTGCATTCTGATCTGAGATTAAAGATAAAATTAGAAAATAAATACTTTTCAAATACATAACCAATAAGATGTTATTAAAATGGTATTAAACTATTAATTTACAATCTTTTAAGTAGCAGTCTATTTCTCCAAGTACAAATTAATAGCTGACATTATCATAACCATGATGCAATCTTTTGAAGCGCCTTAACTGTCCAAATGCAGCTGCTAATTTTGAACAAGTACATGGTGTAGTTCTTAACTGCACTGCCATGTCTATTTCTGTACTTGTACACTACTTCATTTAGATGAGACTGGCAGATGGGTTCTGCAGAATGTCCTTTACAGTGTTCTCACAGGAACACATTAAAATGAAAGGTTAAAAAGATTAAAGTTTCAGCTAGTGAGAACCACGGTCTTAGATCCTGCGGATTTCTAAGAATGTCCTTGGGAAACTGCCATGGCAACTACCAAATACAAGTGTGGTGACAAGCAAGTTCGTACATGGACATAACTCTGGGAAATAACTAATTGAAGCCAGACTTGAAATAGAAGCTTATGTTTGAAATGCCTCTACATAACCACACTAGCCTTGGGAAGGATTACATTTTTAGTAGGTTTAGGAGAACAGAAGAGTTTTCTTGATTTTTTTCATTAGAGGCAGCTATGTAAGTCACATGCTACAGTTTGTTTTTTTTTTTTTTTTTTTTTTTTTTTAAGTTAAATACCATCAGTCCTGTTCAGTAACTGGAAAAGAGGTCACTTACTATAATTAAGCTAACAGGTTCTTAAAGAGGTAATGGTTTCACCAATTTACTTTAAAGGACTGATGCTGGAACAGTATTTCCATGGGACACTGGATTGCAAAACCTCTCTCCGAGATTAAAGAATCATACAGTACAAGTAGCACTCACTGAAACTCTTGCCTCTGAATTGATCTTGACCTATTTTGACCTCCAGAAACATCCTAGTACAACAGTGTTACCAAGAAGTATAGATGAAATACACAGAGGGGCTTCCACACACACACGATAGCATGAAACTTGGAGTTACCTTAAATTCTTCTCTCTACCCCCAAAAAAAGTTATATGGATCCAGCTACCTCCCCCACCATCAGCTTCTTGGTGCATAATTCCAAATAATTAGTATAGACCAGAAGGAGGTTCCAAGAATTCATGTTGTTACTGATGTTTTTTCTTTTAAAGTTAAGAGATGAGAATGAATAGGGTTACAAAACAACAAATCCTATATTAATCAGGAGATTCTGCATTTCTTCAAGGAGAGGAAAAAAACTAAGGACAAACTTTACATAACACATAATTACCTTTAAGACATCTGTAGGGTTGGCAATAGATGATGAGATTACTCCCGAAAGAATGCCACATAGAACATTTATCATCAGGGTTTCATCTATTCCATAAACAAAGAAAGCAAGTTTAGCTGCAGATTTACAAAGCTTAAGATGCATCAGGGCAGGATGATGCCACCCCTCTCTTTAACCAAAGAGAGTGCCAATTAACAGAAGCCTTAAAAACTGCTCTGACAAGTTTTCCTTGCTGACTCACTTCATTGTAATTGGTACAAGGAATGTCTTCAGTAGACTTGCTTAAACCACTAAGATACCAAATGGAAACAACCAGCTTTAAGCAAAACAGTCCTCAACTAAATTGAAAAAAACCCACTCACCTTCTGGATGCTCAACAAACATTCTTTTTAAGCTCTGGTAAGTGCCTATTTTTATGGTTCCATATGAAGCTTGCCGTAGCATTGCAGGTGCAATCCTGTAAAAATAGGCAGTGATAATATTTATGCTCAAAAACACAAAAGACTGATAAGCAAATACTTTTTAGAGCAGGAGAGACTGAACACAAGATGTCTACCAGAGAAAGGTCTGTTCCTTTAAATCTAAAGACAAAATGAAGTTTGGGGTTTTGTTTTGTTTTTTAAATAAAGCCTGCAAGAACGTGAATGAACTGTGGAAAGAATACTATTAGAGCATGCCTTAACTTGTGATCTATAAAATAGGTGGCAAGCACGTCTGAAATGTAATCTGCAGATCACATCTTTCCCCCACCATCTTGCATCTTTTAAAATAAAGTATGTCCATTTATACACAAATGTTACTTCAAATTTTCTTCTTTCTCCCATAGCAGCATTGTAGAGAACTTCATGCTTAGCTCTTCTTTTTTTTCCCAAGTAGGTTTTGTTGTTTGACTGGTTTTTTGTTTTTCTTTTTGGTTTGTTTTTTTTTTTTTCAAACTTGAAATGCTATTGCAGAATGCAAAGATTGAAGCAATCTCAGCTTGGGCTTTCAGCTTCCAGATTGAGACTAACCAAATGCCTTGTAAATCTGAAACCTAAGAATTCACACACTATAGGCCTGTACTTATCAATAGACTGTTCAGAAACCATTACTGCAAGTCAGTTAATTTTACCCAGAGTATAAGGCTTTCAATCCTTCTTCTCTGCATATTCTGACTAGGGCATGCACCATTCCACGGTAGCGGATCTCTCTATATTTGGCATCATTAACTTGACCTTGAACCTGGAGACGTGTTTTGGTCAGATCAATGGGGAAAGTACCTTAGAGAAAAAAATCAAGAGAAAAATAATCAAGTACTTACCTAACCACAGACAACAAAGAACATGATATAAGAAGCAGCAACCTTTATTATATACCAAAAATATATTAAAATACGCTCATGGGAAAAATAATTTGAAGAAGTGGTTCATCACCTTCTGAAAGCTTGTTACAAGCCCTACCTACTTCCTGTGTTTACCTTTTGCATTCACTATGTTTTCAGGCAACATGGTATTGCCTGGTTGTAAACAGCCACACTGAATAGGACTCTGCAATCACAACCAAGTACAGAGTTTGCATGTGTATTGTACCAACATCTTTGAAGAGCATTTCACTGAAGGCAAATAAATAAATTCCACAGGACAAGCTATACAGATTCTAGCCTAGAATCTAAAAAAGCAACAGCAGCAGTACCCATTTCTGTTATTGCTTTCCTGTAGCCTACTGCTACATCAAGTTCATACTCTCCATGCTCCCTTTATGAAGGGGTTTAGAAAGCATATTCCTCCAGAGCTTATCTTAGGAAAGGGACTACCTCAACATTCAATACTCACCTAAACACTACCAGAAGTCAGAATTAACTACATCCGTTCTAACAAGGTTTACCAGACAAGCAAGGCTTTATGAATTGCTTGTCTTCCTCCCAAAGCTTTTGGCATTATCAGCCACGTCACATAAGAGTTTTCAAACTCAAGTTTGAACAAGACTTGTAAGAGAATGTAGAAAAGGAAAACAAAATAGTAGTTTTAAACTGTAATTTTATAGTACATCTACTTTATCAGAGGGGCTTCACATGCAAGCCTACCACATCAGACTATGTTCTGCTACTATGAAAATACAAGTTTCCTTTACATGCATTTCAGGTAAGACTTTAAAATGATGTTGGTATTTTAGGTTTGTCTTTAGAGTAGGCACTAAAATGTCAGATGCAGTGCCTCACTATACCAATTATACTTTGTTGCACACTAACTGAATTCAACTGTTCAAATCTAATCAGCCACTCACATTCAAGAAGGGGGAATTTAAACTGCAACACAGCTACTCAGAAAAGCTAAGAGAATTTTACAAGTTAAGAGCTTAACTTGTTTACTCTAGCAAAACAAAAGCTGTGTATACTTATGACCACTGTCTAAGAACATATCAAATACTAAATAATAGAATCCAAAGGCAAAGTTTGTATAAAAACAAGACTCACAAGGGATGAGAGTTTACAAACAGAAGTGTTCTGACACTGTAACAGAGTTCAGAGTAACTCTTCAGTCAGCATCAAAGAAAAAACCCCTATGCTGCAGAACACCATATACTACTGTCTCACTGATAGCATGGAACCAAGCTTGTTTTAAAAGGGACCATCTGAGTAAAGGAAATCATGTAAACAGTTAAAAGAAAAGCTTACCACATTCTGCAGTGATTGATGCTAAACCTCCATAGATAAAGGGCTTCCAGTTCAGTGCCGACATTATTGATTGTTCTTTCTGTGAAATAAGACAATTTAATGCTTCTATAAGTACCTCTGTTATACAAATATATATGCCAATACTTAATAAAAATTTGTGCTTTGCCCATTTAAGGTGGACCTTCCAAACATACTAAGGATAAAAACATTTAGTACCTTCGACAATCAGAAGGAAGTCATCAATACTACACAAAGGCATCTGGGTTCAAATCAATGTCTCTGCTATGTAGTTGGGCCACCACTGTCCTCACCATTAAAGTTTCAATTAGTTTGTCTACCAGGCATGATCTTAAGGAACACTGCAGTGAATTACCTCCAAGGATTCTTACCAGCCTGAATTAATTTCACTACAGTCTGCAATCAAATGGAATTTTAAGACGGTCATTACTAAACTTCTGTCCCTTTTTTCCCTGATATCAGCATTAACATGAGCTGGTACACTTGGACAAAAATAGGGGCACATACAACATTTTGCTTCCATTAAGGCCTATTTCTGCTAACAGTGTTCAGAATATTCATTCCTGTGAAGGTTACATGAACGTAGTATAATCAGGTGCGTGAGGCCTTTTATAAATTAGAGCAGCATTTTGTATTGTAAGTCAATTAAGTGACTTTAACAAAGTGACCACAAATCATAATTAACCATGGCATATGCTTTGCAAGATGCTCAAACAACCCAATTAGCTTAGAAAAGGGACAAGCACTGCAAAACTAGACTAGTCCAGTTGATACAAGATTGCCCTTCTCAAAGCCAAGTAGGTCTCTCCACAGCTTATTTTCCCCTTCCTCGTAATATACTTTCCATTTTCTATAATATCCTCCTAAACATTGGCAAAAGATAACTGTAGAACCCAATTAAATTTGTGGAATAATAGTACTTGAAACAATCTCCCTTGGCACGTGGATTCTCTGTTACTTTGTTTATTCACCCGTACTGCACAGCTGGAAAATATCTCAAACACACCAGTTACTTAGTACTGCCTTTTGTAAAGATGAACCTTCTTTGGTCACTTCCTCTAGAAGTGCCAATAAACCAGTGTCCAAATGAAGTTGACAGAAGCTGCAGACACTGAACATGCCCAGATAGTTACTGCAGCCCTAGTTTTCCTTTTATCATCTTTACTTCCTTAAGAGTAACCTAGGTGTTCAGTCTTCTGACAATATAATAAAAACCCATTGGAGCTCAAAGCACACAATTTCAAATACTCAGCAACCAAGTGCACAGAAATCCATCTTACTCTTTAGACCTCTACAAAAAGCACAACTGATGAAAAAAAAAAAAAAAAAAAAACAAACAAAAAAACCCCACACCAAACAAAGAAAAGGCAACTAAGGGCACACACTATATTGCCAAAAAAAAAAAATGCTGTGCAGAGGTCAGGACTCCCAGGCACAGACTATGCCAGCTTCTTCTATATGAAAACAGCAGAGCTACATGGTTATGGCACTGTGCTGGAGGGTGGCCACTTCCAGCTCCAAGTTCCTTATACTCCTGTCCTGATACGACTAATGGCAGATCATTTAATTAATGGAGACAAAGCCAAGCACAGTTTCCCCACTATTGGCCACACACATGACCTTTGCTTTTGAGAAACTTGTTAAAATTGAAAATAGCTAACTTTTCCCCCTCAACACATTAAAGCAAGTTTTCATCTATCACAAATACCATAACAATGAAAAAACTAAAATATATCTGTACTTTTGTTTGTTTGGTATTTCACTGCCTAGGCAATGAAGGCTACTCAGTTCTTCTGTGTAATACTGGGGCACCGACACAATGCAGAAGTATGAAAACTGTATTTGTCTGGGCTTGCAATTTGTACACAGATTTACTAATATTAGCTGAAGTTTGGATATATGTATAGCATACCCTAGTGCAGAAATTTTACAGCACACTGTTCTTTTGGCATACCACAAGGTGAAGGCTTTACATAGTACTGTAAAGGTTTGTACCTCTGAAAGCCTTACTAGTCTCCTCTCCTGCCATTTAGGCCAAACTAACCCTCTGAGTCTTTCCACTTATTTCTACCTTGCATCTGTCCTTCTAGCATTCTATACTTATATGAAGAAATTAAAGCAGAGGGGTAGAGCAGAAATGCAGAGTTTATCTCAAAAAAAGAAAAAAAAAAAAAAAAAACAAAACAAAACACCACACCAGCAAGCAACTTTGCCCTTTCACCTAGGATTCTTGCTTTGATTCTCACTCATAACTTCTTCAGTTTCACCAATAAGAAAGATAGTAAGCATGTCTTTAGAAGAATTTCTCATCAGATGAGTGAGAGGCAAACTACTTAAAAACCGAGTCTGTCCCCCATTGTACATTAAATGGAGGTCTTCAGTGTTACTAGAGAAAAAAAAAAAATCAAATATACATTGTTCCCTGAACATCACTAAGATGACAGAGATGATACTACTCCTAAAAGACACTGCGCTAGATTAATAGAATCTTCCACGTAGTCATTGCGAAAGTCAGAAGCAAGTTTGATCACTTTTAATTAGCAGCGTGACTGAAATAAAATCAAAAGTTCAGGTTCCATAAAAGAATGCATCACTTAAAACAAATACGTAGATACTTCCGCCACCTTCTGACACTCTCTTCCACATTCCCCCCCCCCCCCCTTTGGGAAAACAAACACCCCCAACAATCAC